TTGGATTTATCTAAATTAATTAGTATTGCTTCAATTCCTTTATTTTATTGTTTCTATTGTTATTATTGTATTACATTGTTGTTTTTAATTTTATTGTTATTGTTAAGCACTTTGTGCAGCATAGACTGTTGGAAATGTGCTATATAAATAAACTTGACCTTGACCTTGACCTTGACCTTATAGTTATGCCACAAAATCAGCAAATCACAGACTTGGATGTAAAAAAAAATCTGATTGGCTGTTTTGGTCTCCAATCAGCTCGAAATGACGAAATGCAATATCCCAGAATCCATTTCGTCCAAAACTCAAACGAGCCAGTCAGATTTTTTTGCATCCAAGTCTGTGATTGGTTTGGTTGGTTTTGTGACACAAATATAACGGTGTACAGAAAGAGTTGAACGCGCACGAGCAGAAATGTTGAGAGCGCAAGCAGCACATTGCGAGCAAGCGCAAATGCAAAAACTGAGCGAGAGGGGCTGCTATTGTGTGTGTGTGTGTGTGTGGATAATAGCAAACACTGAAATACATTTTTTGCACGCAGCTTTTCTTCGCTCAAAATAAGTTTCTTCTCAAAATCCATTTTGATGATTGATGCTGAACTGTGAAAATCAGTCAAGAGCCGTCTGTGTGCATGGGTGTTCAGTGTCTTCCTCACTGGCAGAATGGTGAGGATGGGTAAGTGCATTTCCAACAGCATCACCATCAACACGAGAGCGCCACAGGGATGTGTCCTCTCGCCACTGCTCTACTCCCTCTACACTTCAGACTGTGTGTCTACCCATGTCTCCAACACCATTGTGAAGTTTGCTGACGACACAGTGGTGTTGGACGCCATCTCCAACAACGATGAGGCGGCCTACATGGATGAAGTGAAGAATCTGGCATCATGTTGCCAGGACAACAATCTCCAACTGAATGTTGGCAAGACCAAGGAGCTGGTGGTGGACTTCAGAAGGAGTCAGCACAGAGACTACAAGCCCATTATCATCAATGGAGCTCCAGTGGAGAGGGTGCAGTCCTTCAAATATCTCGGTGTCCACATCTCCTCAGACCTGACATGGGCTGCCCACATTCAGGTCCAAACCAAAAAGGCTAGGCAGCGCCTGTATCACCTACGACAACTGAGGAAGTTCAGGGTCTCTCCAAAGATCCTCAGGATTTTCTATACAGGCGCTGTGGAGAGCATCCTCACACAGAACATCACATCCTGGTTTGGGAACAGCTGTGTTAGGACCAAAAAGCTCTTCAGAGGGCGATCCATACAGCAGAACGCTGCTGCAAGATTGCTCTCCCCCCGCTTCAGGACACCTACACCAGGAGATGCCGGACAAATGGAGAGCATTGCAACTGCTCATCCACTTTGTCACAGATTGAAGCCATTTGAGTACAGTGAAGTTTAGATGGTGTGGTCGTCTGCTGCTGTAGACCATCTGCTTCAACATTTGTTTGTTTGTTTTTGTTATTTTTGACTCTTCTTATTAGCACAGAGTGTTTAACCTCTGACTTCTGATCAATAAGACATTTCTCAACCAGAGAACTACTACTTTAACAGGTCACCTTTAGTCTACATGAACCAAATGCATCAAGTTGCTGCCATGTTATTGGCTGGTATTGGCTAGATATTTGCATTAACAGGCAGTTGAACGGGTTTATCTATCCCACATGCAAAGACGTCGGAGAAAGAATTAAGATAAGCCAAAAAGAAAGGCAGTGATCTGGATGAATCTGTTTGGCAAGCATACATACAGACTGCAAGAGGACTTTTCCCCTAAAATTAGCTTTCTTCCCTAACTTTAAAATGTCCCAAATGTTGAATACTAACCAGATGCTTTACTGGCCCATGCTGCACAGATGGGAACATGCAGCAATGAACAGGGTGTTTCTGTGAACTGTGCTGTCTGTGAAGAACTAGGTCTTGCGTAGAATCCATCAAGGAGCACCACTGAGGACACGTATTATGTGGGTAAAACATAGACAACAACCATGTAGGAACATAAGTATTGAACCTGGTAGCATTTTCCTCATTAAATATATTTCTAATAGGGCTATTGAGATTAAATGCAAGTCAGGTGATTGATCGGGTCGATCTATCAGCTTCATGAAGGACACACATATGATTTTTCTCTTAGTATTTAGGTATGAAAACAAAACCAACAGCACAAAGAGACTTTAAAGCGATTGCCACAGTGATTCTACTTTAGAAACAGGAACAGAAACTGAACTACTATAAGAAATGGTTCTTATTCCCAGCCTTAGCGCCCACTGCAACATTCATACCCAACACTATCAGTACGTTTTGCAACAATACGGTCACTACAGTCTTGACAGAGCTTTTTGCTTTTACTCATAAAGAGATGCTTCTTATGTGACACCATGCTAAAGAAAAACCTTTTCATAGGCCATCAAATAGGACTGAACCCTCTAATATTCATTTGGGGTAGGCCTGCTTTTAAAATACAGAGATTTCAGCTGGGGTTTGATTTCTTTCTATGTCTAGATTACATCAGAAAATTTCACATCTATAGCCCCATTAAAAATGTTTAGTGTGAAAATGTTGGCACATTCAATGCTTATTTTCCCCTCTGTATACAAGCTGTATACAAGTTCAAACTGAAATAGCACTAAGTCTTAATGGATATCCACTAAAAATTTTGACATCTATGGTTAAAAGACAATAAATTTAGTAATTTACCATGATAAAGAAAAGGTTCTGTTTTCCTGTTGTTCCTTGTGGTGAGACTGTTTTCCCCATACTTTGATTTGCTATTACATATAAAACTCATAACATTCCCATTATCATCTGTTGTTTATGCTACATAGCCAGTGTTATTGTGCTAACATACTGATACTTCTTGTCGGTACAGAGTCACATCGTCCTTCGTTCTTTTCTGGAATGAGCTGCCATTCTGACTGGTTTAAGAACCAAATACTCTTACATAGCAGATGTTGAAGTGACCTATTTCATAGAAGCACCTTTTTATTCAGTGAAATGTATGGAACATATGAAAATGTCACTTCAGAAAGGTGCAAGGTGTCTTAATTTGACCTATACAGATGTGTCGGCTTTCTTTAAGACTAAAAAATGCTGATTTGTTTGAGTTCTTTACAGTTTCTGCCAGCAGAAAGAACTAGAAACCTAAAATCAAGTGAGAATTCATCCTAGAGGCCAATGTTGTAATGTTCTTTGGGAATTTGGGAGTTTTGCTGTTTTTCCTGTTTTCTAAATGAGTCTAGGTTATGTTTGCTGTTCTCAAATTTATTTTAGGATGTTATATTCAAGTTCTAGTTAGCCTTGGGGTGACTATTGTTGACGCTAGAAGAACTGTACTGAATTCAGTATTCACAGAGTTTATTATTAGAGTTTGGGTACTTGAGTTTTCTTGTATATTGGTTAATTGTTTTAGCCTCATCAGTGTTTCATGTTCTGTGATTTTCCTTATCTCAGTCTTTAGTTTAGTTGTTTCACTTTGTTAGTTTGGGTTAGGGTTAGGGTCTCTCATATCTTGTTTTGAGTTTTACCTTCTGTCCTAAATTGTTTCAGCTCTGCCCCACTTCCCACCCATTTTTATATTCTCCTCTGTGTACTTATGGTGCTTTCATTGTTTAACATTATTTATAATTACCATATCATTCGCATGATGATTCCTGATCTTATATTCCCAAAGTGTCATGGTAACCAGTGTTTTTGGAATTTTACTGATACTTTCATGCCTCTCAAATTCAGCCTCCGAGGTCCTCAAGTTACTACTCTACACCCAGCTAACTGTGACAGCTGTAGTTATCTATAAATGCGAACCCCTGGTTTAGGAATTAAAATGATGCCTGACGTGAATAACGGTTTCCTCACCAAGAGAAAACGTTCTAAGCAAAGGACAACAATCTTGAACAGATCTGCAGTGTTTTAAAAGCATGGCGGGATTAATGAGGATTGAATGAACAAGTGAGTTTCACATCAAGGCATTTCTGCAGGCTGACCATCTGCTATGGTGTGACACAAACAGAGAGGACACGTGCCACTGCTCTCTGCTGAGGGAACGCCCCCACACATCTCCTCAGAGCAGGGATCACTTGCTCCCTACAGATGATCTTTGGTCCTGGTCTCTGGCACTTCAGAGGGACAACCCCTCCCAGCCACCTGTTACACTAAATAATGTTGAAAACATGCTGGAAATGAAAAGTAAAAGAAAACTGAATACACTCCTAATGACAGTCTACCAGATCACTGTGAACAATTAGACAAAAATAAAAACAATTACAATCTGGACTTACCTGCAGTCAGTGAATGTAACAAATCAAAATCCCATTTTGTAAAAAAACCTTCAGTGGAAATGTTTGGGTTTTTTTTGGGTTTCAGCCTTTTGCTTACACTATTTTAGGGTGCAACTGAGCTACATTTCCACATTAAAATGTTCTTTTATTTCAATAAACAAACAACTTTTATTTTGAGTTAATCCTAAGTATAAAATATTTATTAGGAATTCATCATTTACTTCTGCATGAGCAATGCTCACTAAAAACTTTGATGTCCAACTGAGATCCAAGTTGACTGGATATTGTTTAGAACCAGAACTAGAACCATTTAATACGGAATTTAACGCACAGAATCAGAATCAAAAGACCCTGGAATAAGATTACTCTAATGCACCTGTAATGTAAAAATCAATCATTAATGACTTCCAACTCAGAGCTTAATGGAAAATACCTGTTATGTGTTCAAAAATGAACAGTTTCAATATTAACACAGTTATTATATGATCAGCTCATGAAAGGCCTAAATTAGTATTCATGAATGTAGGTGTTATTAAAGCTCTTGATTTCATGAAGCTCAATTCAGATATTCTAAATCTAACCACTGTAGGTGTGTGTTGAGGCATCTCTTTCACTTTCAGGTGTATAATCCAGTGCGCGCAAAACTGATAATTATTGTAAACACAACGCAATACAAAATTATGTATCTAAAATGTCTAAAAGCAGAGTATATGTACTAAAAATAACGGCTAAAGAGAAAAAATGTAAGGGAAAAATTTATGGCTGCTCTGAGAAAACATTATTTTTTGTTATTGGTTCTGCAGGGATCCCAGAAAACCACCAAACAAGGAAACAAAGAGGTTTAAGTGAGACAGACTGTGACTGTTTTCTGGTTTTTTGCACCTATTTAGCTGCGGATCTTCAACTTAATGGAGTTACAGTCAATTTGCGCGCTGACCTCTCCGCTCGGTGCACTTCTTATTGAGTTTATCCAACACTGTGATGAATGAGAGAAGCAGACACTCACCCCTTTCAACTGCTGAGCTCCAGTGATGTGCTGAAAGACTCTGTCAATCTCCTGCTCGATACGCCTGGCCCAGTGCATCATCCTGTGGATAAACACCGGAGGCTGACTGTCACACAATGCAAAACAAATGAAACAGAGAGGTGTATCTGTTTCACAGAAACAATCAGTGATGTAACAAAAATAGCAGGAAACTGCACACAGATTACCACATCTTTTATGCAAACATGCTTCATTTTTCTTGCAGCAACAGAGCGAGAGAACAGCTTTATTGGTCAGTGTGGATGTTTTTTATGTCGCTCTTGCAACCATCTGTAATTGCATATGATTTGCAAGCTTGTCTGTACTTAATATAAGTATTTATTTCTTTAAATGTTATATAGTTTGGATATATGTTTAAAAAATATGCATCCACACTGCAATTATAAAGGCTTCCAATGCAGCAGAGTAAACAGAAAAACATTATCACTGGTAATTGTTTTTGAACTTATCTGCACAAATCTGTCTTTTCTTGTTTTTGTATTTCGAAAAACTCAATGTGTGTTTGAATATCTTTTAAAAGGCAACATTATAGCCACAAACTATCAATGAAATTTGCATAATGACTGACACCAGCCCACTGAAGGAACAATGGGCAATCTTACTGTTTATAAGATTGGGGAAACCTACAGTCAGCTGAGACTGAAGAAGTCACTCGGATGAGTGACGAAACATTTCTCCCACAAAACGCCACGTCCGGATGAACAGAATCAACTTTTGGAGAAAGTGCTTTATACTACAAGCTACACTCACATACTCAGTGTCTTCCCTAGTAACGTTTCAAGATGCGGACTGGTTAATCCAAGAAATCCCAATAAACTAAAACTTCATTCATTATTTTCTATTCGATCAAAAAACAGAAAACTATACTTGTATCAATACAGCAGAGACACTATTTGTCAGATTTAAACAGACACTGTTGGGAGGACTATTCTCGGGCTCACTTTCACACAGTATTCCCTGTATGTCCATGATCCAATCTAATATGTATCCAGTGTAATCCTCACATGAGACCGGACGATATTTAATTAAAGGTGAAACACAAAACAAGCAGTCAAAACTGAAAACCTGGGACACTGTGGAATAAAAGCCAGTGATGATCAAGTTTGACCTTAAATTTGACCTTGATGGTGTTACATAGTGTTTGAAAGGGAAAAACATTTAAATACACTATATGTAAAACACAGAAATGGCACCAAACCTTCTCTACTTTTCATCCTACTGATTTTGTTGATTTTGATTTTCTGCATACGCATTCAGCATATACAAATCTCTAGCTGTTTTCACACATCTACTGCAGCCCTGAATTTTTCAGAATTTGTTTTCAGGACACAGACATCAGACATTTAAAGGTGTCCAAACTGCTCCCTAGCACAAAGACCATATGACTCATGTTGGGATACGTCTGATACACGGGTGGGTAAATGGTCATCATGCAGGCTCCCTCCCTTAACCCAAATGAAGCATGAATTTGTCTGAAGTGGGCTGCTCCGTTTTGAGTGCTTTGTTATGTGAGAAAGAGCCACGGACCTCAATTCAACACCTCCTCCGCCTCTCCATGTGGAGTTTCCCTAATTGGCAAGTGCTGCCCATAAAAGAAAAGTAAACATTGATGCTCTGACATTGGGGACAGCTATTTTGAAAACATTAAAAATGTTCTTTAGGGGAAAACGCACTTGTTTGGAGATGATATATCACTAATTACTTCTATACTGTCAGTCCACCTACCACACAAAGGTTAATTCATGACTAAAATAATTAGGTTGGAGTCAAATCGTGTTTTTATGCCTGGAAAGGTTCCTAACTGACTGAACCGACATGGAAATATCTAAGTGTCACTCTTTTCTCTAAATACTAAGGAAAGGGGCTTCATTGCCTTTCTTATCTCCTTGAGCATTTAGGATACACTGAACTATACAATAGGAAATGAAAAGGAATAATACCGCTCCACAGTTCCTTGCAGCGTTAACATTCAAAGCCTAACACACGAAATAATTTATCAGTTGTTTTCATACAATCCTACTAAATGCAATTCATGTAGATAAATATGAGCAGACTGAGGGAGAGCTTAAGGAAACCTTCTGCATGAGACATTAGTATATTTTTATACTAAATGGTCACATTATTATCACTTTATTTACAGACCTATCATGTTTGCCATCAAGGTAATAAAGCGGCTAAAATGTAGCACTTCTACAGTTTGAATGGATATGAAACTCACAGTTCATTGGCTGATGTCTGATTAAGAGTTGGAGGTACAAAAAAAAACCTTGCAGGTGGATTAATTAAATTAAAAGCTAACTTTTGTATTTGGGGTAAATTCTGGAGTTTGGCGCAGTGTTATCAAGGACAGCAACAAATTAGTTTGAATTTGCTACTACTCTGATTGGATCACACCTCTGATTTCACACCTCTGATTGGACTCTCAAGTTTCAAAGTACATAGTACTATTTTTATTATTATTGTTGGACTTTTCTGCACTTATTACATTGAAGATTTTTTATTTATTTATTTTTTTACAAATGAGAAACACAAATAGAGAATAAGGAGGGGGAAAACACTTGAAGGACCAGATTTATGAAATTCAAGATATTCCATTACTACGTGTGCTGAATTCTTTTAGGGTAACTAAATATGTTATCCTATTCCACAAATGTATTTTAACTAAATACAGCCATCCTTCAACTACTCATTTAAATAAGAATTTTGCACTTAAATCAATATCATAAATATAGCACAGCATGTGCTCTTCCATTTTAAATAATAAATACTGTGACATAATCACATCGCAAGCTGCGATTTCAAAGCGGCACCCAATCCTACACAACCTACCTGAACAAAAGAGGGATCCTGCAGTTTAAAAATCTGTTTCCTTCAAAATTTTGCATTCAACCATTACTACATAAATGTAAAAATATGCTTTAAAAGACTATACACTAAACTATATACTATATAGTTATTATACCATATAATATACAACACAATATTTGTGTTATGCTCTGACTATCTTACTATATATTCCCCTGCAATCCTGTACTTCACTTCAGTCAGATTTAAGAAAAGTTTCTGGAGATGAAATATTCATTTTAGTTTCTACCTAAATAAGTCAAACCAGGAAATCAATTAATCAGACCTGTAAGTGCCCAGAGAGTCGATTCATTATCAGTCAGACAGCTTCCAGCAGAGTTACAAGACAACAGCACTGATTAAAGTCTTGTTGGACTTGTTTCTGCTGTCGGACAAGCCACAAATCTTCACTCAACTGCCCGAATCCACAGGAAGACAGCTTTTTGGATGCTGCAAAGGATTCTTTTTCTTTCTTTTTTCTAGCCCAGCTGAAATCGAGGACGCCCAGACCTGATGAAGATCAGACAGCTCTTAATACGGTGTGAGACATTTTCACATTCTTTTATTTGAAGTGATAATTTACTTCTGGGTTTCTGGGAAGTGCCCAGCTACAGGAACTGTGTATAGAAACTAAGATATAACCTTTTTTTTTTTCAAATCCAGCAACATCAAGAGTATCACTTTAAAGGCCCATTTAAGATTATTATAAGACTGAATGCCTGACATGTCTTCACACTGATCCATTTGAAAGTGAATTTCTTTTTTACCTTGAGGCGTTCGAGGCAGTGGTAGAAATAAGCGAGGCGTGCTGTGGAAAAGAGAAACAGCATGCACACTTTCCTTTTCCCTCTCTATAGAGGGATGCAATCGGAAAAATATCTAACGCTTTAAATAAAGCCTTTAAAATGCACTCTGTTCCAAAGTGTTCTCAGGTTGCTGGTGCTATTAAATCTGGATTACATTAATTTGATTAACTGAAAATATCTTGAATATTATTAAAATATCATTTGTTTGTTTTTAAAGACTGATTTTTTTTGCATTTAGCTACTTTGTCACCAGTCTGGAAAACAGTCAGTTTGTCTGCTGACTCAGCCTTTGGAGGCAGTGGTCCATTTTTCAGGGCTTCCGGTGTAACCAGCAGATATCCATGCCATGTCAACACTTGCTGTTGCACCAGTCATTATTACTGACTGCTTCCAAATGCAGATGCATTTTAGAGGAGAGCCACTAAAAGCTAAATTGCTTTGTTCGCATGTGATTGGTCAGTGCAACCCAGACTACAAATAGATACTCTGTATGCATAATCTGTTGCAATGATTACTTTCTCGTTCATTTAAAACTGTAAAAGGAGCAAATCCAAAGGCAGGAGTAGCAAAGTAGATGCAGACAAAAAGACTTTGTCGCAGATGGTAGGATTTCTTTAAAAGGCACCTATAAATTGGGCAATCAGTTACATTAATCCCAGCAATCCTACAGGTTGCTTAAATGTCACATGGCGCAAAACAATATCATGTTTACAATCATGAACACACTGAGCAATCCCAAAGCTGAAGCATGTCAGATGCCATGACTGCTTCATTAACACACGTCCTCCATCTGCATCCCATATGTTTTGACATTTGCTAAAACAAATGTGTGGGGTTAATCTTCATAGATTAAAAAAAAGAATCAGCATTATGAATATGTGGCTTTTCTGCAACACTCAAACCTGGATAAAAACACTTTTTTATCACACTTTTTACTGAAAATGCTACAAAGCATTTTATTTATTTACTTTACACAAAAAAACAGTGCACACTTTGTTGTGCCGGCTAGTCTGTTGTGTGTTATTAGAAAATCTTTGCAGATCGGGTTTACTGCAGTGGAGAGAATACTATCCTGAGTTTCTGGCACATCCGAATTTTGACAACAGCTGCTACTGGCTCCAAAAATTGAGCTTTTCTCATGCTACCATTTTGGACTGACAACTGTGCATTTCTCCACATTTTCCTCACGACTAGCTGAAGACAGCACAGTAAGCAATCATATAGGGGACTGGTGTCCAGTTGTACCCACAAACCGACTAAAAGTTAACTTTTTTTTCCACATAAAGGAAATATTTGTTTCTAAAATGTAACTTTAATGTCATTCTGAAATAAGGCATATAGCTTACTGAAGACACCAAGCTTCCTTCTTCACAGTTTCAGTTAAAATGCCCTCAAAAAGTTGTGTCTAAATTAGGTTTGTTACATGACTGCAGAGCAGCTTCGACCCCGTGACTCAGTGCCGCTGAAGCACTAAAGTTTTTGACTGTGTGCTCCACTTCCTCTTAAGCCCTGTGGGACATCAGAAAACCAAGTACAGGGGCCACACAGCAAAGCACTCTTGTGCCTCTACTCTGTTACCGGCTATAGTCACACAACACTGTGAAGACAGATAGAGAAGCACTACATGATGTGACCCATATTCACTTACAGCAGAGAGAGCAAAAGGTTGAGAGGAACAGCTGAGCCATAGGTGGGGTATAAGGAGCAGACGGAAAAGCCATAAAGCATCTATCTATCCTTCTATCTATGGTTATCTATGGTTTGGGTTACTGGAAATCAGTAATTAAATCAGACAGAGACAAGCTGACTGCTACTTTGCAACCCGCCTCTTTTTATGCTGCTCATAAACTGTCCTCTCCGCCATTACTGATGCTTGCTCAGTTCTATTCATATCTTGCTGCTCCTAAAAATCGTCTTTTGACAACAGTACCTGGCTTTGTTAACACATGGCCTGCTTCCTTTAATGTCTGTTCATGTGCTGTGCAAAAACACAAAGCTACTCAAGACACTGAGTTCTACTGCAGCACCAGCAGTGGCCTTGAGAGAAAGATCAGCGTTGTGGATTTAACTAAAAGAAGATTTCCTCTCTGCTCTGTTACAACTCCACGTGTTGCATATTACACATGGTTTTCCAGTGATAGGCGAAGTACATAAAAAGTACATAAAGGCACCAAAACAAAAGTACTCGCTGTGAAAAACAGCCCCATTCAAGGTGTCATATGTGCCATATTAGTGATGACATAATATTAGATTTTCATTAAATTCATCGCTGCAGCCAAAATAAGTCAAAAATAACGATATAACCATGATACCTCCAGGAGGTTTTATTCATGCTATTCATGCAAACATACATACACTATGATTATTATAGTATAGCTCTCTGATTCATTGTATTGTGACACACCACTCTAACCTGACATTCGATTCTGTAGTATGAATGTGTTAAATGTAAAAATAAATGTGATTGTGGGATTTGTATAGAATATTTGTGTATGCTGTAGAAACGTTGGGACCCACTGTGCCATAGGCAAGGTTTATGCAAAGTTTCATCCACTAAGCAAAATACTTTTAGCATGATTTTATTATGGTTAAGCTTCAAATATAGCAGTAGTAAATAACAGAAGCTGAAATCTGATGCAGAACAAAAAAAGGTTGTACTTGAATAAAGTGAAAGTACCTCCGATTTGAATTTGAGTACTTTAACAAAGGCATTTTGATCAATGTTCTCAAAACACTTATTTCTAATGTAAACTTTTACAGGTCATGAGCTCCTTTGCAGTCTGAGAATAACTGCAATAAAATAACATAAAAAAATATTTGATTTTCCCCCATTGATGTTCTAGATGTCAGAACACGAGGAAGGCAGATTGCAATGCCTGCAGCATGGCAGGCTATTACTACAAAAACACATATTTTTGTAGTATCTATCTATCTATCTATCTATCTATCTATCTATCTATCTATCTATCTATCTATCTATCTATCTATCTATCTATCTATCTATCTATCTATCAGCAGGGAGAGGCCGTATCAAGACAGAAAGGGTGGGAGGAGAAAGAGCAAAGCGAGAGAGGGAGAAGTGGTATAAATCCACGCTGCTGCAGTATTAATTCTTAATTGGAATGAGAAGCTGTTCTACAGCGTCGCAACACCGCTTCATTTAGCTTAGCCGAAGCGACCCAGGGCACAAGACTATGGAGCTGTTTCAGAGCACTCAGCAGAAAAAAGCAGCAGAAAGGAGGAGGAGGAGGAGAAAGCAGCAGCTTGAAATAACCCATTTCATCATAAAACACACACATATGCACACGCCCACACTTGACTGGTTTATAGAATAGACCTCTCTTTTCTAATTGGTAAATAAACCTCATATCTCCAGTTGTGATTGGCCAGAAATTCTTCAGCATGTGCCCTGGAGATGAGTGGACCATCTGGCCTGTTCCTCCCTCCTGAGCAGCCCGATCGCTGAGCCTGGAGTTGGGCCCAGATAGTCTCAAGTTAAGTGCCAGCTGTACTTAACTGTAACGGGTTAAAGGTTAGGATTGAAGAACTGGGCAGGAGATTGATTGAAAAACAAGGGGAAATGGTATTTCGAATGCAGCCTTCAGCAAGAAGCCACAGTAAAACCACACCTTTCTTCTGCTGTGCTAAATAGTAGGCATGGTACTAGTAGGCCACTCCTGAGCTTTGAGTACTTGTGTTGTACAGTGCACAGTGTGGTTTCCTCAAGAGGTTGTAGGAAATGATAGGACTGTTTGATGATTTTTTTTTCAAGCCATCATGGAAAGATCTAGCACTTAGTGGAGCACAAGAACAACAGGGGAAACAAGGAAAAGAGCCTTACCAGTTTTATGACTGCACAGACTTAATGTTGCATGTCAAATAGAAATTCTCCAAATAGCTCAACTAATTAAAGCCACAGTCTAGCTCACCTTAAACTACGTCCTTGCAGTTTTAATTTTTTGTTTGTTTTTTGTTTTTAAACAGGTTTTTGAGAAAGTCAAAGTTAACATTCACAGTCGTCCATTGGGTAAAACCCTCAGATCCTATTTGTGCAGAACATCAGATGAAGGCTCTAACTCATCATATGGTAATAGGGAGGATTAATCATTTGCCAGATGCTCCTAATTCTGCCTAACTTGATGTACAAACACTTACAGTATGGGGTCTTCTGCTTGGGAGGAACACTGAAATATGATTGCTCATTTAACCCTACAAATATACCTATATACCCCTATATATCATAGCGTGGACTACACCTTCCAGCTCTTTAAATAACCTGCCTTTACATTGATGTAATCGCCAACCCTGTCAAATTACATAACAGCAGAAGATAAAGCATGCAGGGTGACTGGAGTATCTCCTGGTGGCAAAGCGAAGTGGTCAAGCCCAAAGTTATCTCTCATCGGAGCCCGGCTGCGTTTTCACTGAGGGTTACTTACGTGTATTGCTGGGGGAAGAGACCCTGCGCTCCAGGCCACGATGCGCTGAAAATGAAGATAATCTGGATAGATAGCAAGCAGACGATGCTGCAAGACCTTTCGCCTATCGCCATTTTCCATTAAAAATTCTCGTCACGGGCTCTCGTTGCGTGAATGAAGCGCTCCGGACTGTCTCCGGGGCATACAGCGAGCAATGTGTGAACGTCAGGCTCAGTTTCCCGACGACTTCATCTCGGTTTCTCTCGTCAAGTGGACGCGGAGGAGGCAGGCATTGGCCGTGAAGGCATCGCGGACGGTGGGAGATGCACTAATGCAGCTGCCAAGACACTGCAGAGTCTCCCCTCCTGCTCCCACACACATACACACCACCACGAGCACTAACACCACAATCACACACAGGCCGGCGCGTCCACGCCCGCTCTCTCTTTCTCTCTCTCTCATCAGCAGCCCGTGGATCCGTGCGCGCTCACGCTCACCAGGCAACAGAGAAGCAGGAGAAGAATCTAGTTTGGCTTTATTTATCTCTGAGGAGCCACGTGGGATTTGTCACTGCCATAAATTTAGTTTTTCTATTTAGAGGAAGACGCAACACTTCAGGTACTGAAGGGTCCCTGAATGTAATAAAATCAAGACGCTTCTAACTCCCGTTTCACTTCCCCGGGGTCCAGTTTACCAACTGGGCCCCAGTCCACAGGAGACCCAGTCATGGTCACGCATGACTAGATTAAAAAAAGCGGGGTTATGTTTGATCATTCATTTAATTTAGCTGCTGTTTACTTTTTAATGTAACCATTAAAATTGTGAGAAAATTCAACCCCTCTTTTTAAATATCACACTATAAAACCATCTGTGATCATTTTATAGTGTGACCATGTCCCACAAAATTGAAATAAAAGACAAAGAGTATATATGGGTTGTTGCAAAGTGGGACATGTTAATGCTGAAGGTGTTAGAAGTTAAAAGTGGGGATTTTCTCTTCTAATTAATCATTTAGTTTTAAATATCTGACAAACGGATCTCATCTAATATTTGCCTTTGTGTTAATTTTCCTTCATATATCAACTGTACAGCATCCTGAAACATTGCCTGCTACCTACCTCTGCAAGAGCAGCGGAATGAAGGTGAGTTTAAATGCCATCCAGAGCAGCAGACAGTGCACAACAGAGGTGAAGAAGAAAGTAGAGCCAGGGTAGAATGAGGGGAGTGTCAGGGGTAATTTGTGACAGAAGAATAGCAACAAGATGGAAAAGAAAGGTTTACTTGACCTTTAACAGAATTTCTGGGATGAAAAGTTCAGAATCAGATTGGATGCCTGGACATGAGTAACCCTCATTTGTGTTGGCTCTGGTGGCAGCCACGCAGGGCGGCTCATTAGTTGAGCAAGACAATTCAGTCAGTATTTGTTTTGGTTTTTAAATCAATCCAGGCATAACAATTATTTACACAGATGACCATTTGATTAGATTTTTTTTAGCCATATTAAAAAGAAAAAAACCTCCCCCCATCATTTTTGTGTGTGGGTGTGAAACAAACCACACCCATATGAGACGTGGGAGTGGAGATAATTCCTTTTTGGAGGAATTACAACATGAAGTGGAAGAGTCACATCAACGAGGAACTCTGTCACTGGGGGAGCTGATCTGGAATATCCTAACTGTACTAAGGGTTTATGTCTTTTATGTAATATGAAATTTAACAGGAGATTTTCTTAATGAGAAACTTGATGAGAAGGATGAAATTTGTGAGTAATTTGCAAAGAAATGGACTATGACAAGAATCATAATTGCCTCTGAGAAAGCCATCGTGCAGAAATAGAAACACACTCCTTCCACTGAGGATTTGGACATCTTGTTGAAAGCAGCTAGCAGCTTGAAATGCAAGGACCAGGACTGGACTTTCTTATTACCCAAGGATAGGTGGGTATAGTTCTTTTATTTATTTATTTTTTATATGTAACATGATTGGATAAAGACATATATTTGATCTATTCTTCCAATTAATCCACTCCTCTGTATTTACAGTCCTTGGACCTTATAATACACCATGCTGTGGTAATTAGCGTGTAACCAATAATATTACTGATGCCTTCTCTCCATTCACACATTGCCATAAAAAAGAGCCGGAATGGAACTGAGTCATAAAATTGAATAAAATCACTATTTATGTTATAAATTACACCTCTGATTTTCTGCTATGACAGTTTGAAACGTGTACTGTGACAAATTCATGTTAAAGCTGACACTGATGTAAACACTGTGCTAAATGGGAACTTAAAGGCATCAGGCATTAGGCACACATAACGCAGTAGAGTCATGAACAGCGGCCTGCAAGCCAGTTTTTGTGACATGCTCTACAATTTACGCATGCAGTGAACACATATGGTGCTAAATTGAGAACTCTCTCTAAGAAGGTGACAGCAGGTACACTGGGAAGTCAACAACAAGACAACTCCCAAAAAGGAATAGTTTTCACAGACCAGCTCTGCTCTCTCTGTATCCCACCTGAATGACTTTTCTATAGCTAGTGTTCTTCTCACTGCTGAGACAGTACCTGCAGCACATTCATGTTGGACACATAGTCCAGCTCCTCCACACCTGCCATCACATGAAGATTTGCTCTCTCCCCCAGCACAGTCTCAAGAGTGTGGAGGTGTTATCAGGAGATGGGCCACTGCACAAGGACAACTGGACAAGGCTGTAGAAGGGCATCGGCAGCAGGACTAGTATCTGCTTCTTTGTGTGAAGAGGATCAGGAGGGGGACTGCAAGAACCCAACATAATGACCTCCTGCAGGATACTCATGTGTATATTTCTGTCCAAACTGTCAGAACCAAACTGCATGAGGGTCCTTTAGTGAGACCTGTTTTGACATCCCTTTCCCCAGAGAACACCAAAATTAGTTTCTGCCACTGGTGCCTGTTCCTTTTCACATATGATGTTGCAGGTAGCGTAGACATTTGCCACGGTGTCTCCGTGCTCTTTCATGCCCGTCACGTGTGCTCAAACCAAGAGATCACTTCCTTATGATTTAGGTGATAAGTTAAAGTCAAAGTCAGAGACAGTACTTAAGCTCATCCCATTTTCATGCGATCTGTCAGATGCACAGGAACACAGCCCAGAAATAAGTCTGGCAATGGTAGACTACAAAATGATGTAACATATACTGTATCAGCCAGGCATTTGGACATGCTCTATATAAGAAAAGGAGATTTTAAAATGCAGGGAAATGAATTAAGCATCAAAATGTGCGGTGAGACAGAGAATGTGTAGAAACTGAGAAGTTAAAAAGCAGATGTGCGGACATGGGTCTCAAAGATATTATATCAAATAACTGTTATTCTTTTATGGCCTATTTAAGTATAGAAATCTCTCTTTTAAAAAAGAGAGATTTCTATACTTAAATAGTTTAAATATGGAGCTTCTTTCTTCAGCCAAGGCCTATACAAGAAAAATGTTTTTTGGAAAACTACTAAATTAACTACCTTCAAAACACAGATTTGGATTTTTGTAGATAAATTTCCTTATCTGAGTAAAAACGATTAAAAAAAAACAGATGATCACAGTGGCTGTTGAACTACAAGCCCTGAGAGAGTTAGCTCCTTCGATTACAAAAGGGTTTGGATGTATTTACCACCAAAGGACAGCTGTAGTTGCACTGCAGTGGAGCAGCAGAGCCATTCAGCTGTGTGATTTACACTGTGCATATAGCCCTTCATACACTGCAGCATCTGCAAGTATTAACAGCTCTCCCCAGAAGCAAGAAAACCATGGAAGTGAAACTCATTACAGCCTTGCTATATGTATACCAAAGCTACTTTACGGATACTGATAGAGAAAATGTTTTTCAGACTGCCTCTCAGTTCTTGTTTACGATTTTATTTCTATAAATCTTCAGGCTTTACTTGGTCCATTAATTGTAAAAGGTCTTTGAGAGCTGTTCATGAATTATGATCATAATCCTGGAAACGCCACAGTAGGGTGTGTGCACAGACCTTGTGAATCAGGTAAAATCTCCCCATGTGGGCAGGCACCCTGCTCAGAGACCACGATTAAGTGGGGATCAACTGTCAAGCAATTTTCATTTCCAAGGAAAAAACATGTATACAAATTACTGACTCTGGCACCACATATAATAAAGGCTTTCCTGAAATACTGAAACAGCGAAGTTGTCATTGACAAACTGTTTAACAGCACCTATGTTTCCCCACAGCCCGGCATTCAGAAGCTCGGCAGCTGACCCGACAGGATGGCTGCACCTTTTTCCCCCCCTCTGGGAGGAAGGATCTGGGTTCAGCTTTTATTCGGCTCCCTGATGGCCCCATGTGCTAATACTGCTGTCACGTCCTGGGGAGAGAGAGAAGACTAATTACTGACTGCACTCGCTTCCTGCCAGTCCCCCTCTGAGAGCCATACACTGTTAATTAGACGACAATACCAACGAGAGCTGCACTGTGGATGAGGCCGACCTTTACCTCATGTAAATAGCATTAAAAATCAAAATACATTTTTAATTCCTCATTGCCATTATTCCATCTGTATTTCATAACATCCTTCTTTACAGAGTTTTTCCATTTTTAACCATCCAAGTAAAGTGAATAAAAAAATCACTTTCTATTTAAGGGACACGCTAAATAAAAACACAATTTTAATCTGGCTGGGTGAGCAGAGATTTTAACTGTAGGCCAGTTTTACACCTTTCTGTCTTACAGATTTTAAAATGATGCATTCTGATTTAGTGATTCACTCTGGCCAACACATTAGATATCTGTCTGATATTTTAAATATGATTTTTAGCCACAGACTTTCTGTGAAACTGCACTCAGGCTCTGGAATAAAAGCTAATTGCAGCATACTGACATGCTCACAATGAGATCACCGTAAGCACAAACACAGTAATGCCACCATTTTACTTTAGGTTGTTAGAACGCTAATGTTTGCTAGTAAGCACTACACCTAAAGCATAAATGATGCTGATGGAATATTTTGGGTGGGTGAGGATAATACTGGGTGAATAAATATCAGGACCAAAGAAAAATCAAAGCACCAAATCAAATTTCCAGCAGACATTTATATTTTACCTATTATCACAACTGCCACCTATCTGTGGTCCACTATCACCAAATTTAGGAGGATGAATCCAGTGAGACATTTCTGCATTTTATAGTGTTGCGTTCCTTTAGGAGGCAAACCCATGTTGTGCATTTTGTGAAATACGAGCTCTAGCTCCATCTTGCTGTTAACAGGTGATAAAAAAAAAAGCAGCCTTTAGGAACATAATGGTGAAATTAAGTGGGGGGGAAAAGCTGGATTTTTGTTTGGGGTCCACTTTGTGATTATCTTGAGGCTACAAATGGATTCAGTGTTTTATTGATGCGATTATTTTAAGTGTTATTGCTGGACCTTTAACCAGATGTTTGGAGGTTAAATGCCTCCCCCAAAGGCAATCAGAAGTGTTCTTTCATAAAACA